CTCTCTCAAGAATCTTGGAACTGCACACGACAGAGACCTGGACTACAGGATCTTTCTCATCCCTTCCATCATGCTATGAATATAAAAACTTTGCTACTTCCAAGTTACTGGTTTACAATTCCCCCAAACAAAGGCAGCACTACTTATTGTAAGGGATGTTGAAGTTATAATTCAGAAACACCTAAAGGGTTCACAGATTCCCCATTCCTGGCTTAGAACATGCTAATATTATTTTCCTTCCTAAAATTTTTCTGAGATATTTAGTAGTCTAATTAAGAAAAAGCCACCAATACCATAGCCATGTTGATTTTTTAAAGCCAATAATAATATTGAGCTTGAGTAACAAGTTTTCATTTGTAGAAGAAAATATTGTTGAATAAAGTCAGAAAATATAGAAAGAACCTGACATAAGACTAGATAACACTTATTATATGAGCATATTGAATATTTACTCATATCAAGACTGTTGGTCTATATAACATAGCATAGCAAGTGACAAGCCAGCTGATCCACTCTGTCATGGCCAAATGCATCAATATTCAGTTGATGCAAAAAAATAATAATCAATCCCTGCATTTGTGGGAAAATGCTAAGAAGTGGGGAAAAACTCTTTTCTAGCCTATTGAATTTATGATTCTTCCCTCAAATTGTGCTGAAATTAAAGTTTGACACAGTAATTCATATTTTGCTTGGCTGACAGAGGAAATCCTTCAACAGCACAATAAGTTTCTAACACAGAAGCAACTGTATTAAAATTCTGCCCCATGAAGAGATGAACAGCATAAATAAATTGAGTTTTTTGACAGTGGCTCCTGAGCATATCCTTACCTCATCTACAGTTGGGCACTAATTTTCTAGGGTTGTAGGCTACTGAAATCACAAATGACTTAGTAGTAGAAACTAGCTTTGTACCTGATTTTTGATGCCTAAACAAATCAAACAATCGTTCTTTTCAGAGGCTGAAGGCTCAATAAAAGTACATATTTCTAACGCACTACTATAAGAAATCAATCTCCTACAAAGAAATAGTTTAATATATATAAAATATTATATAAATATGTTTTAGCTTAGAAAAGTACCGTGTTTCTCCAACAATACGGCCTCCCACAATAGGAAGTCCCAGCATGCTTTATAGGCATAAAATCAAATTAAGCCCCTCCCCACAAATTAAGGCCTATATTAAACATGCGAAATGGGGGGGAATGGCGGGGGGCTTCCCGTTAGGAAGTACTTTTGTTGCATACCCAGATATGGTGCTGCCTGCGTTGACCTCGGCGTTGGTGGGGCACTTCGTATCGGGAGACCTTCCACCACCGTTGCTTTCCCTTCTCCCCGTGCTGCTGCGGTGTTTAGAGCAACGCCGCGGCATTTGGCACAACCACGTGTGACCAGCCAGGGCTCCTCCCTGCAACCGGAGCCCGGCGGAGACACTCAGCTTCAGGCGCTCCTGTCGCTGCCTTCCCTTCGCCTTCGAAGGCAAAGCCAATTCTTTTAAAAATGACACCCTACTACTAGTACGACAAAGACTCCCCTGCCCAAGAGGGCAGCCCAACCCCATGTGGGGAGGCGAATCTCCCGGGGCCGCAGCGCAGGATCGGCCCACCCTGGGAGAAGCGCCCAGCCGCCATCCCTGCCTGGTGCTGAGCAGAGCGCGAAGAGCTTCGCCTGGGGCGCCCAGCGCAGCTGACAGGCGGGTGGTGGCTGGACACTTCTCCCGGGGTGGGCCGATCCTGCGCTGCGGCCCCAGGAGATTCACCTCCCCACGTGGGGTTGGGCTGCCATCTCGGGCAGGGGAGTCTTTGTCATACCGGTAGTAGGGCATCGTTTTTAAAAGAAATGGCTTTGCCTTCAAAGGCAAAGGGAAGGCGGCGACAGGAGCGCCTGAAGCCAAGTGTCTCAGCCGGGCTCCGGTTGCAGGGAGGAGCCCTGGCTGGCCGCGCATGGCTGCGCCAAACGCCGCGGCAGCACGGGGAGAAGGGAAAGCAACGGTGGCGGAAGGTCTCCTGATGCGAAGTGCCCCACCAACGCCAAGGTCAACATCCAAGCCATCGCCGCCCGCCCTAGGATGCAAGGGGGGGGAATTAAGTCACCCCCAAAAAGACAGCCTAGCCATTTTTGGGGGGGTAAAAAAAAAATAAGGCCCGGCCTTATTTTGTGAGAAACATGGTAAAGGGGGTGTAAAAATAAAGAGGGTATAAAAACCATTGAGATAAAATTTTATTCTTCCTTTTTATAATATCAGAAACCAAGATCACCAATCAAACAAGGAAGTGATTCCTCACAGAGCACTTGTATCATGAAATTTGTTTCTTAAGATATAGGTATGGTCTATACTGTTACGGTTTTAAAAATAAATTAGAAACATTCATGAAGAATGAGGTTATCAGCTGGATGCTAGACCTAATGGCTATACACTACCTTCTATATCAGAAGTAGAATGACTTACAATATCAACTGCTGCTGAAAAAAAGCAAAAGGATTCTAAGTGACCATTGAAAAAGCAGAATCTTAGAATTTTTGTCTAATCCAACATGACTTTCTTACATTATATAGTAACATACTGATATTTTTACACAAACTTAAATAAGTTTACCAATATGCTTTATATAAAAATTATGAATTCTTTTGTCAGTATTGCCAAACAGTACATGAACAGTTAACTTCATTTACATTCGGTTACACTGAAATTAACTGAACTTAACTGGAATGGGATCATGAAAAAGAGAAAAGGTAATTTTTAGAATATATTAACAATAAAAAGAAATATCTACTTAGGATCCAGGACTTAAATTTTCCTATATCTTTGGCTCTCGTGTTCTTGGTTAACAATTATGCTGATTGCATCTTGATTGCATTGCAAGATTTCTCACATTTACAGCACTCCTTAACTTCCCATTTTACAATTCATTCCTTAAGTATGACACAAGTTTTAAATAGCACACATTCAGTTTTGTTTCAAATTGCTTTGTGGAAAAAGATTATTAAAGCAATTAGTATAAAATTATTGATATAACAATTTGGGGTGTCTCAAGCATATTTACAACCCACTGAAATAAAAACAATAAATCTAAAATCTAGACAATAAATCTAAAATCTGTAATCTAGACAAACTGGAGTGTGGTTAAAAATGAAATCAAACTCTCTGAAACTAGAGCCCAGTGCACTAGTTTTGTTCTCCCAGACCTTCCATTCTATACACTACAGTTGTGGAGATGTCCTCGTTTGATTCGGGTGACACTTTTTTCCACACAGTCTCTTTTAATGCAAGTTCGTGCTGAAGACTTTCATAGTCCAGTGGTCCAAAGGAATGCTAATTGTTTAAGCAACATATAGTATGTATTAAGTTACCAATGAAATAAAACAATCATTATTTTTATTTATCAATTAGCACTTGCTGGTTCTGAGAGATCTCTCTCACCCTGACATTATTATGCCACAAACATTTTAATTTCAAACCACAGTAAATAATTTATTCAATTTGGTGAAAGGGAAGAAAGACTCCTTTAACCCACTTCATTCATAACAGGATGCTGATTATATTAATTAGCCATATAGCAACTTTCATATTAAAGAAGAATTCCTGAGGTTCTATTCATTACTGAGTTGCTAACGGCACTCATACAATCCAGCTTCTCCCAGTTTAATTCAAGTCGGACAATTCAAACTGCTTTGGCAATAATTATTTATGCCAAAGCTTTATCAAGTAGAGAAATGAGTAAAGAACTGAAACATGTTAATTATACAAGGCCAAAATTCTAAGCTCCAATCTTTTTCCCAGCTTGATCCAAGGGGCAAAACATAAAAATTGTCTGTGAACTTACACATTCTACAGCGCAAATGGAATTCCAAAGTCCTAAGTAATGACTACCGCTGGTATTTTGAATGGTACTAATGCCATTAAAAAACACAGATTTCTTCTCAATGAGGATCAGAGCCATGGTCAGAACAGTAAGTGACTGACATGTTTGAAAGTTAATACAAAGCTCTGTATCTCAGGCAGTACAATTTTAAAAAAATGTTGACAAAGAAGCCTTTTGGCAACAAGCAAGAGATTACCCACTGCTACTCTGAGAGTCAAGAACAGTACTAGAGATATTTTCTCACTAATATGTGGATCAAACGTGTTACCAAAATAAGAAATATACATTTTTATTTTTCTTGTAAGATCAAAATCTTTAACAAAAAACTTTGCTCCATAATTTTTATGAAGTGAAAATATATTGCTGAATATGGTAGCTTTGCGTCATGGCATTTTATCTAGGATGATTTTAAGTCTACCTAGAAAGGATACATGAACTGCTCTCAGATTTGTTGGAGGATAGTTTAAATATATTACGGTCAAATATGTTATATAACAACAATGATTTCTCTAAACTAAACTAAGTTTCAGTCAATTGCCACATTATTACTAGACAGGTAGTCTTCAACTTACATTTGAAGTTATGGCAGACCTCCCCAGATCCTACTTATAACCAGGTTTCAAAGTTGCAACACAATTGCATTTTGGCTGTTTGGCAACTGGCCCACACTTACAGCCATGTTCAGTCATATGACCACAATTTCTGATTTTTGCCAGAAACACATTTGCTTCCAGTTTCCAGCAAAAAAAAAAAAGTCAATTGGATAGAATTGATTCACTTAACAGCCGTAGCATCTGCTTAATGACCATAGCATTTACTTAACAACTGCCACGAAAAAGGTTGTAAAATTGGGTGCAGTCACACAATAGGTTCCTTAATGACTGGTATGACTACAACTATAATTCTGGCTCAATCATAGTTTGTAAGTCAATGACTACCTGTAAGTAAGCAAACCAGTAAAAGCCAGTGAATAATGTAATATAGTTTAGCATTTAATAGTTAGTTCTAGTTGTGCCAGATGTGGCCTGAATTGTATCGGAACACTCACATATCAGAATATTGATGTAATACATGTCATTGATCAATCCTATTTGGACTTTGCTATGCGTAATGTACATGTTATAAATACTTTCAACTTACTCGTTGATCACCACCTTCCCTCCGAGGATCAAGCTTCTTTGCAAAATGCCTCAGGTTATCATAATTATGAAAGTTGCACAAAGAAACCAGTTCCTGCAATAGTAAAAACATCATTGTGTTATATTTATAATCATGTATACTATCAAGAGCTGTGGTGGCGCAGTGGTTAAAATGCAACACTGCAGGCTACTTCTGCTGATTGCTGGCTGCCTGCAATTCCATCCTTCTAAGGTCAGTAAAATGAGGACCCAGATTGTTGGGGCAATATGCTGACTCTGTAAACCATTTAGAGAGAACACTGTGAAGCGGTATATAAGTCTAAATGCTATTGCTATGTTATTGCTATCCTAATTTACAACTGACTCTTTCATTCAACTATACCCTGATATTACTGATTAAGTCCTTTGTCAAGATGAATATTAAGCCTTTTATAAATTTAGGGGAGCCAAAAGAAAAAAATTGTTTTTTAATATTTTTTCTCAATCAGGATTGAAAAGAAATGCATGCATTTTGTCAAGAATTCTTCCATTTTCAGAATACACCTTTTTATCTTTGCTTAGTGTGTATCCATCCTTTTGCTTTAAAAATCTTCCATCTTTATTGATTCTAACAATAAAGACATAAGCATTTCTGCTCAAGAAAAATGCAAATTTTCCTACCTTTACTGAGATAGGTGTAAATGTTAATGATCATTGCATTTGTGCTACAGACTAGTAACAATTCAAGTAAGAAGACCTGCTCACATGACAAAAGTGTATCCCCTTAACGCTGTTGCCCATCTTGTCTAGCGGAGGTGACCAGCACATCATGCCCATAACGTTAGGAACAACCAAAAGAATGCCACCAGCAACTCCAGATTTTGCAGGAAGACCCACCTAAATGAATGCACAATTTAAACCATTAATATATAGTTATCAATATTTAGACAGCAATCACTGAATATCCATATTATCCGTCAAGGTAGTTTTCCAAAATTTATCAATTAGCATACATTTACATCCCAGGAATTATTCAGTTGATACCTCAAAATACTTTTGTTTTTCTGGATTCATTTCTGTCATTTGAGTTTTAACTAGCCTATATGACATAGAATTCCTTTTACCACCCATGGTCAATTTCTAATTGCCATTATCACTGGTTTTAATAAGAAGTCAATTCTTCTTCTTTTTTTAAGAACTAAACATTTTTATAACAGATCCCTCAAAACAAGCACTTACATGGAAAGCAAACTGTCCCGAGAAGTCATACATGCCACATGAATGCATCAAACTTAAAGTGTTTCGAACTGCTTCAGGACTGAGGACTCTCTCACCAGTGATAGGGCAAAACCCGCCATTGGCAAGAGTGGCTGCCATGACACTAGCAGATTCACAAGTCACTTCTATGGAGCACAGCTTAGGAAAAATGAAAAGAACAAGAAAACATTGATCAACCTATGCAAACAGAAGGTTATATAATTAAATGGATGAAAGTCCTATCTTACAAAAGGGAGCCTGAACCCATAAAGAGCCTATTACCCTATGAACAATACAGCATGCGAAGATAGACTTTCCAGATTAGGAAATAAAGGCCTATTTGAGTGAGCATGAAGTGGGAATCTGATGCTAGCAACGTTTTTTTAATGAAAACATGGTACAAGATTAATTCATAAAACAACTGGGTAAGATTTTAAAAAAAACTTGTTCTCTAATCAGTGCAATAGTGAAGCTTGTTCTGATGAAGACTGACATTTTTAAAAGAAACATTTTAAAACTACATGATCCTGTTACTACAGAGATGAACAGTACAAACAATCATGTGACAGAACCAGGACAATTTATATTATTTACTTATATTATTTATATTATTATTTAGTGTGTAAAATTTAAAGCTACCTTATATTTAACTTAATGAGGGGGGGGATATCATATTTTAATCAATAACAAGATTAGTAATAAGAAAGTATGTTTTAGTTAACCTAACCAATGCACTAAGGATATGGATAACTATTTCTTCTCTGAATAGTACTACTGAAGCAGTAGGAAAATTACACATAAAGCACTTTTATATTTAGCAGAAGTCCCCCAATTCCCCAAAACTTTGCTTAATACAATACTGTGTAAAACCTCAAGGTTACTGAACCAAGGAACTAACCATATTACAGTAAACAAGGGTCGATATGGAAAATAACACATGGTGTAAGATAAAATGAGTAATTATATGTACTTCTCTCATCTTGGTATATATGTTATTCTCCTTTGTTGGGATAGTTTAATAAAAGTAACGCACCGGGCTAAGCTGAGGTCATGATATGTATAAAGTGACTTCTCAGGAAGAGCCAGGGGTTCAGAATTTGCCATTCTAATGCTCTGAACCTTGTGCACAAATAAAAACGGATGTATTCTCCAACCTTTCATGGTCTTGTGTCCTGATTTGGAAGCAAGATTTCCTGCTACATTTATGGCATCCCAGATGGGACACTAGGGGCCCTGAGGCCCGCCGGAGGGTCCACCCCGGGTGCCAGCCACCGGGTAAGTTGAAGGGAACATCCCAGGTGCCATCGGTCCTCTGAATCCAAGGGACTTCCCAAGACTGCCCTATTCTGGCGGCGGTGGTTGACACCTCCAAGAACCACAGGTGAAAGGTGAGGAGACCAGGACATCTTCCAGCCGGCCGTGGAGAAGGAAGACGCCTGCAGGCAAGTATTAGATTTGGGAAATAATCCCTCCCTGTAAGCAGGGACGGAGGAGAGGACTGATCACCCTCTCTTAGACAAAGGTGGGAGGAATTGTCAGGAATGGTTGAGGTGAGTGGCTACTGCGGTTCCCATTGGTGACTGTGAGTGTCCAGGGCCATGGGCCAGTAGAAAGTGAGTGGCGTCCGCAGTTCCCATTGGAGACCGTGCACATCCGGCTCCCTGGGTCGGACGTGAGTGTGTGCAAATCCCTGGTGTTTTCGGAAGAGGAGGGACCCCATACCCTCCTCTCCAATCCCTTTTCCCAATTGTCTTGTCTGGTGACCTGGGTGGCTCATGGGTGGAGGTGAGAGTAAGCCCCTGACCCCGCTGGGGTCCATGTTAAAACCTTTCAAGGAAGCGTATGAATCTCAGGATTATGGCCTTGAGTGGAGTAGGCATAAACTGCAGGTGTTCTGTGAGGGAGAGTGGCCAACATTTGAGTTGGGGTGGCCTCCCATAGGCACACAGAAAGCCCCGAAGCATTTTATACCCGTCTTATTGACGCTTACTGTATGTATACTCCCATTGATCCCACTGACCTGGCAAACGCTCGAATGCTAACCATGGCATTCATCTCACAGAGTGCCCCAGATATATGTCGTAAGTTGCAACGACTTGAGGGGGCCCTAGGTAAACCCATAAGTGAGCTCCTGGAAGTGGAAAGGAAAGTCTTTGTGAATAGGGAAAAGGAGGAGGAGCGAAAGACCAAAAGATGCAATGAAAGGCCGAATTAATGGCGGCTGCTATGATGTGGACCCCTAAGGATAGGGGAGGTAACCAGGGAAAGGGCAACAGGTCAGGGTTAGGACGCAACCAGTGCGCCATCTGTAAAAAGGAAGGACACTGGAAGGGTGAGTGTCCTGAAAGGAACAAGGAGGAGAGGCCAGGCGGAAGAGGGGGCCCTTTCCGAGGGGCCTCCGAAGACCCCTGGGAGGACAGGGAAGGCAAGGATATAGGAGGGGCCTGGGGAGAACCCCTCTGATAGGCCTGGCGGAAGTGGAAGAATGGGACTGACGCCGACCGGGTTCAGATTGCCTCCCAGAACCTATGGTCGCCAGGGACAAGGGACAGGGGAATGAGAATAAATGGAAGCAATTCCATGTTCCCCATTTGTGGGCTGAAGATAATCCCCCGGGTTTTGCTGGCCACCACCCTCCTATCATAGTGGAAGAATTACCAATGAAGGTGCCTGTGAGAATTCGACAACGGGTATACCCCTGCCATATTATACAGGCGATCCAGGAAATCATTGACCTATATTTGAAACACCACTAGTCATTCAAGTGAAGCCTCTGGCAGTACCTGTTTGTCTCCGGCAGAGAAGTTACCCTCGCCCCATTGCACGAGCAATTCAAGACAAAGAGGAGGGACAGTTACACAGGTTAGGGAATCTCGACAAGAATGTGGAATTCTTGTAGTTGTTGCAGCTAATTTTCTTGCTGCAGGAGGTAGATCGAACCCTTAGGGGTGACTCTAACATGTAAGGGCATGAAAATACCCTTTAGAGTAGTTATTGAGCCAGTGGAGTGAGGAAACCTACTCCCCTGGATTAAAAGTTTAAGTAAGAACAGAATGATAAATTTGTGCATTGAAAAATGGCAAAATACATAATTGAGGAACCACAATAAGGTAGGATCATCTGGGGGAAACAAGCAAATGTTAGTTGGGTAAATTAGAACAATACTTAATCAAGAGACCTACCTTAAAAATAAATAAAAAGAAAATTGAAATACCGTATCTTAAACCCTGGTATTTCATAAATTGGGAAATACCTGATCCCCCAGCAGATAGTAAAATGCTTTTGGCTAAAGAAGAAGAAATGTGAAACTCCTTAAGGACTGAGAAATAGGTAAGGTTAGTGTTATATTTGGAAACAGGCATAGAAGTTTCTATCTGGAACTGGTAAGATTACGGCCATGTTCTCCATGGAGCCCATGGGGACACGTTAAACAGTAAAAGTTGTCTTTAAAAAGAAAAGTGGAGTTCAAACTTGCTCATGAGAGCCCTGGCCAGGTGCAAACGAGGTGTGAAAGAAGGTCTCTATAGATCTTGATCTTTAAAAATAAGCCAGCGTTGTCTGGGAGATTCTAAGATAGATAGAGAACAATTTGGATCTTTAAAAATAAGCCAGCGTCGTCTGGGAGATCCAAACTAGAAAGATAAGGGACAGAACACCCAGGGCAGAGAGTAGTACCCTGTTTCTCCAACAATATGGCCTCCCCCAATAGGAAGTCCCAGCATGTTTTATAGGCATGAAATGAAATTAAGCCCCGCCCCCCAAATTAAGGCCTATATTAAAACATGCAAAATGGGGGGAATGGTGGGGGGGCTTGCCATTAGGAAGTACTTTTGTTGCACACCCAGATATGGTGCTGCCTGCATTGACTCCGATATGAAGTGCCCCACCAACGCCGAGGTCAACATCCAAGCCATCGCCGCCCGCCCGAAGATGCAAGGGGGGGAATTAAGTCACCCCCCAAAAAGACAGCCTAGCCATTTTTTCAGGGCTCAAAAAAAAATAAGACCCGGCCTTATTATATGAGAAACACGGTAGTAAAAATCTAGTGCTTAACAATGAGTGTAACTTCAAGTAAAAGTGAGAAGTTCACTAAAACAATAAGAAAGAAAGCCCAATTAGTGAAACCTCAAGTTAAATACTTAGGTTATACTATAAGTTAAGGCCACAGAGCTATAGGACATTAGAAAAAGGTTGTGTGCTGAATTGCAGAACCAACCGACAGGAGTTTTTTTAAGCAGCAGGCTATTGTAAAAATGTTGCCCTGCTATCCAAATCACTCTGAGTCCACAAAGTGGGGAGAAAGGGAACCCTTTGTTTGGACGTGTGAACAAAAACAGGTTTTTGAGACTTAAAAATAATTAGCATCTCAAGCTCCTGTTATGGGACTTCCCAACCTTGAGAAATCTTTCAATTTGTATGTGGACTCAAAGAATAATATGGCTCTTGGAGTCCTGACTCAAGAAAAAGGGAAGTGGCAACAACCCATCGCTAAAGAAAGAAAAAGTGGAGATTTAAAGGGTCAAAACCTCCCCAGGTCTGGAAATGTTGTGTGTGTGAATGTGTCTGTGTGTAATCATTTCCAAACCTGGAGGATGAGACCCTCTAACAACAGTAAAAAAAAAAGAAATGGAACTCGTTGGCTTGTGAGAAAAAGCTCTCAGAAAAGAATTGTAAGTAATGATTGATTTGCTTGGAGAAAGAATGAAATAATGAAATGAAATTTTTGTGTGAGAAATTGGTTATGCGAGCAGTCTGATTACAGTATAAATGTGTGAGTAGAAGAAGAAAAAAAACATTGGTGTAAATGTCTGTGTGTTGACCCCCATCCCAGATTAAAAGGAGAGTACTTTCATATAAAGAAAGTGCATGTACCAGGAAATGAGAAAGCTCTCATGGAGAAATGTGTGTGAGTTACTAAAGTTAGAGAGAGAGGAAGGAACAGAGAAAATTAGATGACAGAAAAATAAAATATGTCAGGAGTCATTGCATCTGAGATTCCACCAAGAACACTGGATAAAATTGCACGTGGGACCAAGAAATTGCGAAATTGAATTTTTAGTGGATACTGGGACATCCTGGACATCTTGAAGAATAATCCCTCTGGGATGCCACATTAGCCAGAATTCGAATTTCAAAATCAAGAAATAAAAATCAATCCATGCCGCATCAAATTTAAAATTTCCAAACCTGGAGTATGTAGAAAGAAAGATCAAATATCTTGGACACTTGATTAGTGAAGGGAGTAGAAAAATAACTCCTGCTAGAATTGAGGAACTAAGAGAGACTTCAGAAAGTTTTAGGGACTGTTAGGCAATTGAAAAAAAAATATGGGGAAGTCTCTTAAAACCAGTAGCCTTCCTATCCAAATTAATGGACCCTGTAATACTGGGATGGCCAGTATGTATTCAAGCTATTGCCGCCACAGCTCTCTTAGTACAAGGAAAAAGGAACCTCACATTTAGGGAGCGGGTTTGGGTGGTTACAACCCAACATCAGATCAGGAACATCCTGCCTCAACGAGCTCATGGATGGTTAACCAATTCTCATATCCTAAAGTATGAGGGAATCCTCATAGGAGACCAACATGATTGTGTAGCACTACTTTATAGATGGAAGTGCCAAAGTAGTGGAAGGAAAGATGTTGGATCCCATACTGTGGGAAGGAGGGTTTGCCTAGAACTGAGCTAACAGACAAAATTGTGAGAAAATATATTTTGAATTGTCCCAGTCTCTCTTTTAAGACAGAAAGGACTTTGTTGTACACAAATTTAAGGCAGGATAGTGGGTTTTGATAAAATCCTGGAAGGAACAAACTGTACATTCCTTTTCTATTTAGGACTGAGTAGTTGCCGATGTATTTCCCCAACATAAAATAACAACCACAGAACAAATCCCACTGCTAAATTCACCTGATCTTATAATTGTCTTTAGACTGGTGTAAATACTGAATGTTTGGATGGTGGGAGTTGGGAAATTACATTGAGTGAGGACTTTCAATAAAAGGGAAGGAGAGAAACTTTGTATGCGACCAAAGTGGCCTACGAACACATGAACAATTTAGGAACCTTGAAAAAGCAACACAACCAAAACCAAGACCAACAGTGTGATTGCAACTAGCTCCTAATAAATTGGAAAAGCTAACTCCAGTATCAATAGCCAGAGTTGGGAAATGAATATTAAGCAAAAGATAAGAATTTAGGAAAAATGCTGAGCTTAAAATATAACTAGTAGAAATATAAGCTCTCTATGCAACTTATTACAAGCAAAAGCATTTTTTGCAGAGAGATAGATACATCTTACTGCACGTCAGCTAGGTGTCGAAAGAACCTTAACACCGTGCAACAGGAAGAAGGGAGGAAGAACTAGTCTAAAATAGCTTCAACAAGACATTTGTGTGTTTTGCGTACGTGTGTGTGGAATCAAATATGGGAGATTAATGGAATCCAACAAATTTGGATTGTGGGTGGCTATTGTGTTTTGCCCAATGGGACTGGACTGAGTGAAGTTCTAATAAAAAATGTGACTAGTATGTTATTGTAAGAATCATGAAGCAAATAACAGCAACTGGATTACCCCAGAAGTTATGTATAGGGAATGTGAAAAATATGCCTATACTAGCCTCCCCACTGGGTGGTTTGGACCCTGTGTAATGAGATTCATAAAGCAACATAGGGGAATCCCTATCGAAGGAATGAATTCAGGCTTGGAAAGCAAAGAGCCCTTGAATCCCTAGATACCAGTGATGCCCCTGGATGCCTGAAACTCTAAAAGGGCCTACACGTAGGTGGAGGATGGCACTCTGGGAGCTAATGGACATACAATTAAATTTGACTACAAACTTAAAGGAGATGACTGCAGTCTTGGGAACCTAGCAACAGAAAAGTGTGGAAAATAACATTGTGCAAAACCAGCTAGTCCTAATAAAAATTTTGGAGCGTAGCAAATTGCGTTGGTGAAGGATTAAACAAAGTCTGCTGTACTAGGATTCTGGGTTCTAATGTTTCTCTCCTGTTTGATTTCCTTTATAAGAGATATAGTACTATCAAAGTTTAAAGAATCAAAAGTAATAAAAGGAATTAGGTTATCTCCTTTTGAAATGATGTTTGGAAGACCCCCTGTCATAAGTACTAGTTTGAGAAATAATATAGGGGATTTAAGTCAATTAGGGGATTCATGGGTGAGTCTAATGAGTGGTACGCTTGAAGAAGCGCCCCCTATAACTGCCCTATTGGCAATGGGCAGGCAACATACGGGGCAGAAGAGGCCTTACTGGTGTCACTCCGGAAGCTGACCCTCTACGTACGGCTGAAAATAAGAACAAGTAAAACAGATGTTAATGTGTTAGGGATAGTGTGTGTGGTGGAAAGATATATTCTTTTGAATTCTTTTAAAGAATTTTATGTATCAAAAAGGGGGTTGGACTAGATGACCCAGAGGAATCTCAAATTTTAAAAGCTGATATGTTTAAAGTGCTTATCTGAGTTGAAGAAACCACGTGTTTCTTGCTCAGTTGCCTAGCGAAGAGTTTCCTGTTCAGTGTGATCAACCTTCCCTGTCTCGATAGAATACCTAAACCGTAAATATGCTTCAAAAGGGAAACAAACTATAAATTGTATTGTTTAAAAAAAGTTATTTTCCAACTTCGACTCATCTGAGAAGGATTTGTAATTGCCTACTTTTGCAACAGCATTAATCTTTGTCAGAACAATCTCCAATAGTCTTTCTGTGTTAGTAGAGAAGAAGGCTACTGCCAAGGTTATGGCTTTATGGGAATATGAGAAATTGAATACAGTTGAAGATTATTTCCCCATGTATGAAACTCCACAGTAATCAGTAGATTTGAGTGTAGTTTCAAAGGGGGGAATGAAGCAGTAGGAAAATTACACATAAAGCACTTTTATATTTAGCAGAAGTCCCCCAATTCCCCAAAACATTGCTTAATACAATATTGTGTAAAACCTCAAGGTTGCTGAACCAAGGAACTAACCATATTACAGTAAACAAGGGTGGGTATGGAAAATAACAGATGGTGTAAGATAAAATGAGTAATTATATGTACTTCTCTTTTCTTGGTATATATGTTATTCTCCTTTGTTGGTATAGTTTAATAAAAGTAACGCACCGGGCTAAGCTGAGGTCATGACATGTATAAAGTGACTTCTCAGGAAGAGCCAGGGGTTCAGAATTTGCCATTCTAATGCTCTGAACCTTGTGCACAAATAAAAACGGATGTATTCTCCAACCTTTCGTGGTCTTGTGTCCTGATTTGGAAGCAAGATTTCCTGCTACACTACAAAACTGGCTGAAAAACGTATTACATTCTCACTACAAAAATATATAATTCTTAGGTCAAGGATTGCAATCAACTCTTAATTTGCACTAAGATCAGAGAATGAGAAATGCTGATTTATTAAAACATATTCGATCAGAATATCATTTAGTTAACATACTTACCCCAAACAAAGGATTGCATCCTCTGTTGTGTAAATATTTATATAAATAACATTTTAACCTATAATTCTATATATTTCTTTTTTCTTCTTCAAGGATAACAAATAATCTAGAGATTAATTAGCTACCTGGAAATAGAAGTCCAATATGCCAACCATATCCGTGCCCTCTGGAAAACACTTGAAAATAATAGATTATTTTAGTACATCATGATACAGTAAAAAAAAGTTATCATATATAAACTAAAACTGATAAAGAAGATGAAAATAATCTTATTTCTGAAAATTCAGTTGAGGATTATCTAAGAAAAGAAGAATTATTTAGAATTAAAATAAGACTTAAAATAATTATTTAGAAATAAAATAAGACTTCTAGTTATTTAAGTCTACCTTTCTGTGAAAATTTGAAGGAAAATATTTTAGCTCTATTACAGAACCATCAAACGTGTACTTCTGACAAGTAGTTTCGTAAAAGATTATTACATGCTTTTTGGCCAGAGAAGTGGGAGTGGATTATAATATGAAGAAATTCATTTCTTTTACATCTTTGTCCCATTCTTTTTTCCTCTGTCATTAAAACCAGACGGAGAAGGAAGTAAGATGAATAAGATGATCTCTCCCCCCAACACACACACATTACTTCTTGGTAATCCAAATGGGAATAAAACATCTAATGAGAACGTAATGTCATTGTGTTAACTTTAAAGTAATATTACATTAGCTACTATTAATATGAGTAATGTTACAAGGATTTCAGTAATGATCTTTGTGAAGCTAATCGGAATATCCATCTTTTGTTTCATGCATGTATATTAACAAGCATAACCCACAGATTTCTCTTTGTAGATATGACAAGTTACTTGCTTGCAATTGTGATTTTTTTTTTAAAAGGTCATATATTTAATTGTTTACTTTGCATCCGATTCAGGTTATGATTCCTGCACTTCTCCTCATAGTCACCAGAACCAGGATAGTTGGGTAGATTTGCCAGAGAATGCTGATACTTTGGATGCAAGCTCTCTTGGAGGAATATCCAAAACAAGAGATATTTTCTGATGCAGAGAGACACAATTTATGCCCATATGAAAGGGAAAGCTTGCTCCCTCAGCACCGACATTTATAAAGAGGTTGCTAAAGATCATAATGCTGAATATAGAGAACATGCAACCAGATGCAAAAACAATGCAGATCCAGAAAGATTGGGAAATAAATTGGTTGAAAACAAACTGAAGGATTCAGTGCAAGCCATGTTAAGTAACATATATGCAAGAAGTGATATACACATCAAATGTTTCTGTTCCACATGAGGCTTTGTACAGGTGCCATTAATTCATTTGTGTAAATCACAGAGACCAAAATGGAAAGATAACACCATCACTGCATTCTTATGATATCAATATTGTATTTAGCTTTATTGTCATGATGAAGAAATAAAATGTTATTTGTAGTTTGTTCAATTGACATTACATACATTTAAGGAAGCAGAATAAATATAACTAAAAAGCATACCTTTTTCTCTTTCAAATAATAGCCTATTGCAAAGTTTCTGTCTCCACTCTCTCTTTCAGACTGGAATCTGAGAAAAAGAAACAGAAATGGATATCAAACCACTAAATACTTATTAACAATACTATTAGTGAGATATTTGTTTTTTAAAATTGTTGTTAACTCTAGCAACAACTATGAAGTTTGGGAAGGCACAGACTATTGTTGTGTGGAAATTACATTAAAAAGAACAGATTAATGTTGTTGCATATTAGAAGCCTCAATGCAAAGCATTAGCTATTCAGTATTAAACTAAACAATTTTTGTAAATTAAGTTTTGTGAATTAACTACTTGAGAATACAATAGAACTTATTTAGATGTTAAGTGAAACATAGGAATGCAATATAAGACAGAAAGTTAACCATCACCATTCCAATAGACAGAAACTACACAGCAAATTCATGCTGCAGTGTTACAAGCTGAATTGTTACAGAAAAGCATGCCTTGTGGTGCTTCTTGAACAACCTTTCAAGGGAAAGAAAAAACTTACTACTTTCTCTCTACAGGGGGCCACAATTATTTGAAGGGGGCAACAATGATGAGGCAAAATTGATGTTTTTAGCAAAACCAAACCTGTAGAAGAGAAATAATTTCTCTTTCTCCTATATTTTCAACTCTTAATGGAGGAAAGGAACAAGAATTTTTTCTTCCCTTTTCCCTTGGTTTTTTGAAGAGACAGTGCCATAAGGTGCAGTACTTGTCAGCACTGAAGTCTCAAAATGGCCTCAGTCAGGCAGCTTCAGGGTTACTTGGAACCCTGACATTTCTACAGAAATCTAGCATAAAGGAAAAAATTTCTCCTATGCCCAAAGTCTTAGCTGAAGCAAAGATTTGACTAATAAAATAAAATATGTACAGCATTAATATTAACTATTGCTTGTCATGTCAAAATTAATCTAGGAAACATACTTACGTGGCATTACTGAAACCAACATATTCGTTTCCAGCCATTTTATTCATGAACTGCATCACCTAAGGAAAGCAGGATTATTTTTTTCAAAATGTACCAAAAAGCACTTAGTAGTAAGTATTCAGTGCAAATAACTGATTTAGGTTTAGATATTAAGCAATGTTGTCATTCTGTAAGAACAAATATATTCCACAAGAAAGAATGAAGACATTTTCTGCTTTAATATAAATTACTATTTACTGTGATGTCTAAACTAAAATTCTTGTTAGTTTAAATTAGAAATTAATATTTTTATCTTAATTTAAGTTAAAACACTACATACATTTTAGTCTAGTTGAAATTCAGTGACATTCTGCTTTTAGTTTAAAACTGAAAAGCAAATGTTTCTAAATTTCACATAAGAGAAAAAACACTTGTAAAAATCAGTGAAGCTTTCCTCCAGTGTTGCTACATTATAGTTTATAAATATAAAGTATATTAAATATGTGTTTTAAATATAAAACAGATAATTAAATTGTTCCTTACAATCAAATTAGAGTCCAATTCCAATTCAAGCGACTTTTGAGTTCAGTTAATAAAAAGGTGTGAAGTGAAAATATGGGGCACAGCAACACTATTTTGTAACACTTAAAATTAGAGAAAATAACAATTGTAACAATTAAAAGATTTGCTTACATAGTCAAACTTTTCAGCATTATTTGCTCCTTGCTGAAAGGAAAGAAGACACATTTACAAAGTTTATTAATACAAGGGAACTTTAATTATAGATTAATTTGTTTCATTGTTACTTAAATGCTATTATGTATTATTAGACTAGAGTTTTATTTGTTAGTCTATATACCTATGGTAGAGTTAGATTACTGAATTGTTATACAAAGCATTACAATACTTTAACATTGCCTGTTAAAAACATTACCAATGTAAAACAATAGAGCTGAACTTAGTTTTATTTTAAATGTAATCAGTGACTCCATTAATTTTCCATGATTTTTTTAATTTTTTTTGTTGAATTACAAGTTATTTGTAATTAATACTATTAATACTGTTTTGTAGAGGTAGCTTTTAAATGCTAGGTAGAACTAATAAGTCAACTGCATTAAAATAAAGATTGGGTATGATTAAATATGCTGATAGGAGCATCTGCATGTGCAGATTTAAATAAATAAACCTCCCATTAGTATCTTTATATTTCAGCCATCAGTGTTAACAAACTGGGATAACAAAAACATTCATTTTTTAAGTTCACAACTGAACGTTTAAGAGTAGAAAGAATATCACAAAATGATGAATATTTACTGACTCCCAGTTTGGCACCACAGAGACTGGTAGATTATTAAACATAATGATGCTCTTAAATTCAAAGAATTGTGTTAAGAAAACATAACAAATTGATTATTGCTATAGTAAATGTGTACAGTTTAAAATTGTGTGTACATAGGCATGCTTGTGTATTAATGAACCTTGACTGAAGCAAAGAGTCTGCATAAAAGATATGCTGGGAGGGAGCAAGCCTTTAACAGAAAATGGGAATGCCTACACTGAGGTCGGAGTATCAAAATCTTTTATATTTTTATCTGGGTAATAAAAAGGATATTCCTTCAAGTAAAAATATACCCTAAAGAGCATGTGCAATTTTTTTTCTACATTTGGTATTTTAATTTCAGAAACATTTAGGTTTCCAGATCCAAAATTTCAAAAATAAGTAATATGAAATAGCTAAAAGGTTCTGTAGAGATGAGACTGAACAAGGTAGATATGGTTTTTTTAAAAATAAGATTACAGTAACACAGCAAATCAACTTCGTTGATTATTGCAAGAATATTCTGGCAGTTTTTTCTGTATCCCTAACATTTAAGCTGCTAGACATTTAAAAAAGTATTTACTGGAATTATCATTTTTTTTAAAGCAGACAAATTCAGATTTAAAGGCCTCAAGCTAAACAATCCATGAAACATTACTTTCACAATGTTAGTTTAAGGGGGGGAAAACCTTGAAGCCTGTATGTACCAGCATTCTACTCAATGAAATGTATAAAGCCAGCCTCATTTCCCATTCTATAGTGGATTAGGACCTTGCAGACAATCCGTGAAGCCACAAGCACCAGCTCATCTAGTGATGTACAGTCATTCACGTATGCTCACCAGCTGAAAGAATACCATACTATTGTGTCAACATCAATCAAATTAAAATGCTGATACCCATAGAGTCAAAGGCTATTTAATATGCTAAAAGATTATGCAATGTGTTGAAAAGCATTAGAAAAACAAACTTTTTTTTAAAAAAAAAAAGGGTAACTCCAAATCTGTTCAATGAAAAATAATTAAAAGAAGAAATTACCAACTTCATTGAACTGTTGCAGTTGTCAAAATATTCCATAGATCCTAATGCTGTAAAATATGTAACAACATTTAAACCACAAAAACCTTTTAAATGCACAGTGAATGTTGCTTGGGAAAGTGGGAGGGGGCGGCATTAGTTATGGGATGCTATACTGATCATTGTTGCATTGTTAAAACAGTTAAACTGAAACAAGTTTTGCATTTCTCCCCTATATCTGACAAAAGGAGAAAGATGCTTAATGCAAGACCTCATTCTCTCTCCCCACCCCTCAAAAAAAAAAAAAAAAAAAAACCCAACCCCAGAACAATAAAATCCAAAGCCTTCATTATTTTGAAACCATTAGCAGAATCAATAAACCAAGCAAGAGTCTGAGCATATAAGCAAAGCAAACTTATTTCAGCATTTATCATATTTAGAATTTTCTTGGCTTTAAACTCCAGAGTATTTTGACATCCAAGAAAACAGTATATTTTCACAATTCCACTAATAGAAGTATGAATAAGCATATTTAAACATTTAAATACTGGATTTTTTTCCAATAGCACCTGAACTCCATGATCTTAACAATGTCATTTCATTTGATCATGACACATTTTTCTTTAAGGAAAACAAATAAAAGTAAAGTCAGCATTAAAACAAGATACCAAATATTGCAACAGTTATTTTCCCACATCCCCACCTTAACAATATGGAAAATACGACTTTAGTTTGAAGATGGAATATGAGAAAGAATAAAAGCAACTTTTATTTTGGAAGGGCTATTTTTCCAATCTGTGGAGATTTACTTATAAAATTACAAGCAATTAATCTGTCTACAAATGTTCCATGCAATATTTAACTTCACAAACATAATATATACATATATACACTTATAGTGTGCATGCTTGCATGTATATTTATGTGTATATGCACACTATTGTGTATATACAAAATATAAGCCTCGGAACACAAAATATTTTAAGACTGTAACAATCCAATGACACATCACACATGCATATTTTATATAATTATACACATGTCAATATTAAATCAGTAGGGATCATATTTTATATATACCAAAATTCTACCAGCATGCAATCAGAACTTAAAAATAATAAAATAATTATATATATGTTTCAATTTTAAGATACTAGGTCAGTCGTATAGAAATATACCAAACATCAAATTATATTAAGATTTATGCTTAGTACTGCTGATTTAAGCAGGTCACATGATTTATTTATGTGGATTTTCTAAATTGTCAACTTATTTCTGAAGAGTTACTTATTCAACAAACTAGTTTTATTATAGTAAAATAGTATATATCCTACCCTATCTGTATTTTAAAACACCACTCTAATAAAAAGGCATATTGGAGTTATATGGTAGTATTTCAGTATCAGAAGACAGTATATATACTGGAGCTTTCTGCAGAAATGACACCAACATTTTATCATATTCTGTATAAGGTGACCTATGTTCACCTTATATGGTTGGAACATTTAAAGCATAGAAATAATCCTCAAATCCAATTAAAATGTTTTTGTAGCTATGGACTAGAACATTTCATTAACACAGGACTACACTGTCTAATTTTTGTACTGTATTTCATTTTTAATACTGTACTTTTTTGTACGTGCATTTAACATGTGTGTGTCTGAATTTAAGTTGAATATCACTTCAGCTATGGATCTGTTTCCTGTTGTTTCTAAATTATTATTTATGACTTGCTATATTTGAACCATGATGAGTTGTTCAATGAAGCACTGCTTTAAAACCCCATGTCTTATTATATAATTTATATCATTCTAGTTGATTCAATTCTATACAGATGTATTAATATCTATATAAGAAAATAAAGGGCTGTCCTGTAGAGTAAAGCAATAATCCCTTTATTGGTTGCAAGAAAGATGAAAAAGTAATATATTTTAAAGGGAGGCTATACATTAATTCGGTATATCAAATATTATTATTAACATAATTTTGAGGCAAAAATTCTAAAAATGGCAAACCCACTTCCTTATTATCACAAGAAAGCTATATAGACAGGTATATGGAGTCACCATATTTTAAGACTTTACTGAAAGTGCTGAAATTTTCTTCTTTAATAGCATCATATATTTGTGATTTTTATAGTGTACTTTGTCATATAATACTTGAATATCATTGCAGAACATGGCAATAAATTGTTTTTCTGTCACCATATTTCAGACACTTTGGTTCTTCCACAATCTCACTTAGGAAGTGTTATAATTAACAACAGTGATTTATCTCCAACTGCTGTTTTTACAGTATTTATGTTTAAAGCTAGTGATTATTTCACATTCATTTAAGCTGTATATATCTAGAAATAACACAGTGGATTCACCGAGAGCACAGAGTTGATTCCACGTATGAATTAAGAGGTGAACATCATAGAAAAATATTTTTGCTCCATAGTACTGTATAGTACCATGAAAACTTGAATTCTTTGAGAGACTAAGAGCAAAAGAAGTTGACCTGAGCACAGCCAAACTTCTATCAATAGAGCTTTTCCTCTTGATCAGAAATTCTGGGATTTTATTTAAAAACAAACAAACAGATTATATGGCTTTCTAAGGTTTTGCCCATGTGGAAAAGGGGTTATTGAAATGGTTAAACTATAATACATTACCTGTTTTATCCTGGTACATAATCAGAGTTGATAACCCCACATTTAAGCTATTTCCTGCTTAAATGGTTCATTCCAAAAAAAATATTAAAAATTCTTCTTTTGGATAATTCTGTTGCTCTAAATGTAGCTAAATTCTGCTATCTCATATGTAAAATGTATAGATGACCGATTGATAAGCTCAGTTGATTTTACAACTTGTTCTTTTTTATATGCAATCTGCTTTTTTAACTATTGAATTTTATTTTGAACTTTGACCACAAGAAGCATATTTTACAGGTTCCACAGACTGAAAAAAAAACTAAAAAGTCCTGTTCAAATTATATTCTGAGATGGGCATAACTATATGGCCATAACATATTTCCTAAGAAGCCAAAAAGAAAAATATTAAATATTCTCAACTTTGTTTATCTAGTAACACAGATAAAGAAAAAAAACAATGATATGCCAAATATACCAGTGTTGGTTGTCGCTTTTAAAGTCATTCATGACTTGGGACCACATTATCCACGGGACCATTTTTTTCCCAGGTGTTTCTTTCCAGCAGAATGGGCATATTTTGGGTACCATTGGCCGGGAAATGATAATTAGCAGGACCAGAAGATGAGCCCTTCCTGCCACAGCACCTGCACTGGAAAATCTCCCTGCAGAGATTACAATGGCCCCAACCCTGCTGGCTTATCTATAAGGCCCTAAAGGCCTAATTCTATGCCCAAGTCTGGGGGCCAGAGCATACAAAGGATCCCATCTTTTGGTTGTGTTAACAATAGTCAATTGTGATATCTCTCTTGGCTGCTATGCATTTTAATTTTGTATTTATGACAGGAATTCTTTTAAGAACGTTCACCACCCAGAGTCACTTGTTTAGATGATGGGTGGCACAAATTGAATGAATGAATAAATTTATAAATCTATAAATCTCAATTAAAACAGAATTGCAAGGCCAAATCAAAGGAAGGATTCATCCCGAAATGTTATGTAATGTACTCTTAATGCTAGTTAAGATGGCATTCCTTGCAAATATTTGTTTTGTAATTTCATTGAGCAGAAATTCTTAAGAGTAATACTTTTTTCTGCCTCACAAGTGTTCATCTTCTCTGGACCACCTCATATTGTTTTGTTAACAATTGTCACAAAGAATGTGAGGCTGCGTATACATTTAAACTTTGGGATTCAAATGCCAATATAAAAGCTATGGTATGTTCTGTTGTTGAGCTCTTTTATTATCCAGAAAGCTTTATTGACTGAAACCATGTATTACCATAACTAACAAATAAATGATACAGAGCATGCACAACACTAAAAGAATAAGAACATCTTTCCAGATTAAAATCAAAGGCACATCTAAGTAATCTCTACAGTATTTACAAACAAACCTTCTAGTCATGTCACTATTGCACAGTCATCCAGATGTTTAGACTTATTATGGCATTTTTGCCCACCTATTAAGTCCTTCTCATTGATTCAGGATTAGGCAAATGTTGTTTAATAATATTAAAGATATTATTGTAGGATGTTATTCCAAGTAAAGCTGACTTTTGCAATTGTGATTTTGTCAATGCCAACATTATTATGATTGGTTGCACAGCCAGTCGGATGATTAGACTGGATTTGGCATATTATTATTTTATCCCACTTTTATCTAATCTTATATAGATGCATCCATAAATTAGACTAGATCTCACATTACAGAGCTGGTTAATTTTTTATTTGTTATTGGCTGCAAGGAAGGGGGCAGCACAATTTTCACTGATACTATAGCACATAGGAAAAGAGGGCCTTTTGGGACCTCCTCCACATGCCAACTGCAATTGGTATTTTTGGTCAAATTGCATTGGGGAAAAAAGGTTTCTGCTTCAGCCTTAATGAGAAATTTAATACCACTATCCTGGTGATATCATTCCCCAATTATAATATTCACCGAAAGACTGCCAGCCAGCTAGTTGGCAAGCTGCCAGGAAGAAATCTTAAACTCCCTTTTCTAGAATAGTAGCAGGAAACATGTAAGGGAGAAGCTGTGTCTCTGCATGGACGCCCCACTTTAACAGACAAGGAAAATATTATAGAACAGTGGGGGTAACCCGTGGCTCTCCATTTCCTATTAGCCTTGGTCACCATGGAAGTTGATGAAAGCATAATCCAAAAGTGAGAAACAACAAGATTCCTCACCCATGCTCAAGATAACTTATTCTTATTTTGACTTTAATGATGCTATGTAATACAAATAAAAGAGCCACAGATAGGTGAATATGATTTAGCTATTCACATAGTCTTTGTATAACTATTTGAATTGTAATCCAAAATAAGTGGAATTAAACAGGCCTTGCTTTGCTATTTTCAAATATCAGTTGACTGAAAAAGCTATCATGAAATAAAAATAAGTTGCACTAAGAATTATCAAATATTTGTGCACGCGTAAGAATTTCATCTGTACTTGTGACATAGCTAACTCACAGATTTCTTGCAAATCTGTGAATGAAGGAGATATTCCAACTTTCTAATGATAAGAATGAAATAAAATATGAAAAGCAGAAGATATAAATAATAGCAGACGTTCCTGCTAAAAAACATTAATACCTTTATCCTAAAATTACCCTAAAATTTATCCCACTGCTTGCAGGGAAAGGGAAGAGGGGAAGTCTTTGCTTTCTGGCATAGGTTCACCTCACCAAAATTCTGTTTGCATATATAACCGCAATTTCAGTGTGAGGAAGGAAATGGTTCTATATGCAGATGGCAGTAAATGGATTCTATACATGCCCATTCTTTTACAAATAATTAATTTCAATTGGTAGGGGAATTTTATTTTGTTCTGTCCTGATCTAGACCTTTTTTTGGAATAAGGCTTTAGGAAGGGAGGGTCACACAAAATGGACCGTAGGTTGTTACAATGAGAAAACAGGGTATTGCACAGAATTTATGTATGTATATGTGTGCACATATACATACAGAGTCTACTCTTTCTTTTGGGAAGGATTGTTATAAATTCAGAATTGCCTTTCTTCCAGGTAAATTACTGAATTTCTAGGATTTAACCTTCAATTAAAGATGCAAAATGCACATAAATGTTGATTTGTCCAGTAATGACAAATGTTTCAGCTAATTAATTAAAAAGAGAATATTTACAAAAGTGTTTTCTATGAAAATGGACAACTAGGTTCTATAACTTTGTAAGGCTGTTAAAATGTCACACACTTTACAGCACTTCAAAATATATCTAATTTATGAGAGTAAGATTTAAATAAACTTAAGGGAAAGATTAGAAACTTTAATTTTAATATAATTTCTTGAATTTTCCAATTCATAAAACTACTTTATAAAATAGCTTCCCAGAAGATGGAACACATAAATGTCTTACAATCACTGTAAACAAATAATGATGCAATATGGAGGTTTATGTCTGCTAGACATGCAGAGACTACATGCAAAGTTTCAATGCACTGACTTGTAACCCTGTTGCTGTGTTTTTATATTACGACTACATGCAGTACAAAGAAAAACTGCAATATACTCTAATGGCCTGAAACCTAAAGTGGATTTTTCCTGCCAATAAAGTATGCATTTGATTGGCAATTCATTAATTTTAATAAAATGAATTTCCAAACATGTGTGCACTTCATGTGATATTGGGTTACTATATAAAAGGCTATTGTGAGAACAAGAAATACACTGAACTGTCTGATGAACTACCTACCACTTATTTTAAAATCTTATTGCCAAGCTGAATTTTAAGTTATTTAAACCTCTAGAAAAAAAAATAAGCATGAATAAATTTACCTGTCGAATTTAAGGCCATTTTCCTTCACCTACAGCTATTAAAGATAAATGTTTAAAGCAGGAATTTTTTACACAGAAGCAGAAAACCACGAGGCAAAAATAAAATAGCCTTTCATAATTAAAGCTATAAGGATATGATATAATCAAATATTTAAAATCTCCATTTTGATTTCTCTATTACAAAATTAAGGAGAAGGGACAATGTTCTTTAAAACTCTTTCTGAGATATCATATAGATAGATAGATAGATAGATAGATAGATAGATAGATAGATAGATA